TTCTCATAAAAGCTTGACATTTTTTCTCAAAAGAGTTTGCTGTATATAATTCATTCTAAAACTCATATTCTAAGGCTGAAAGTTTTGCTACACTTCTTGTTTTAGTAGAGTTAAAAGCTTTAAAAACTTTCTTTTCTTATGCTTCTTCAAGAAATTTATTTCAGCAGTCTGTTTTAGCTTTTTTAATATCTGAAAAATATTCATTTCTGACAGCTTTAAACTCTTTATCAGAAATTATATCATTCTTTCAATCTTCTCTAACAGTAGTCAATTGTTTCCTTTTAAATGTGATATTCTCATTTTATCAAGATTTTAAATACTCAGAACACTTTCTCTTTGAAATATTATCTTTAACACTTACTAGAATAATAGATGTAATGAGCTTTACTCTATTCTCAAGCATTTCATTTGAGATATCTTGACCAGAGTTTCAATACAGCTCACTCTGTCTTTCAGATTTTAACAGTTTTATACTTTCTTCAACTGTCTTTCAGTCAGCTTTTTCAAAGTTAAACTGATTAGAGAGAAGAGAATTTTCACTCATTTATTTCTCACTCAGTTCAATATTAAATTGAATAATCTCATGATCTGATTCTGATGTCTCATTTGAATCAATAAATCAGTTTACAAGTCTTTTTTCTATTAGATTTTGTGACATGAAGATTAGATTTATAATAGATTTCTGTTTCATATCTTTTCTAAAGAATGTTTGTTGATCAGACTTGTTAACTAAATCTATTGAATGCTCAAAGATTCATTCAATCAGATTATCAGCTCTTACTGCTCTTTTATATTCTAAATTTTATCAGAGATGATGTGCATTGAAATCTCCTGCAATTATAGAGTTTCTTGATGAAGTTATGTTCAGAAATTCTCTATTAATTATTCAGATGTTATTATTTTTCTTCAATAACTTTTCATTATAGATATTTATAAGCTGTATAGTATCAACCTCATTCTCTTTATCTATAATATCACTCATCAGAATATCAGGGTGAGACATGATATTAAATCTTAGATTAAATTAATATCTTGATTTCTTTCTTTCATAGATCACTACTCTTGACTTTATCTCAGACTTTTGAGGTAAAAAGCAGTAGTAGCTTAAATGAGAAATGATATATTTTTGCTCAGCATTAAAATTCGGCTTCTGAAGCAGTATAAAATCAACTTTTTATTCAAATACAATTTGAATAAAAACTATACTTTTCTAATATACTATGATCAGAGATATTAAACTATCTGATAATTTCATATTTTATAATTATAAGTTTCTTAATTATTTCTTCTTATAATTATCTCTGATAATAGTGATAAATATCTTAACTTAAGTTAAACTTTCACTTTATTTTCATCTCTGTTAATAAAATTATTAAAATATTATATATTATTAATATAATAGTTAAATATATATTCTTAACTAGACTAACTATATAACTGAGTAACATAGTTTATATCTGAGATTAGAATTAAACTTTATAATTATTATATTATTTAAAATATTACTTCTGATTATAATATAAGTTTATTATATTAATTTTAAATCACTTTTATTTCAAATATTAAAGATCTCAGATTTACTTTTTAAATAAAGATTTAATCTCAGATAGACTAATTATATAACTGTGTCTGAAATCAGAACTAGAATATTTAATAGTCTTATTATTAATTTAATTAATCTCATTACATAATTTTAATATTAAATAGTAGTTTTATACTATCTTAGTAAGACTTACTATCTACTCTTATTATATTTTTTAAATAAGATTATAATTTTCACTTCTTAATTTAAATTATTTTTATTACTTTAAATAACTTTAAATCTTATTTAAGTATTATTAAAAAGTGTTACTTTTTAAAAAATTAAAAATAATTTAAAGAAAATCTTAAAATGTCTAAAAATAGTAACTTTATATCAAGAATTAAACTAAATGTGATTAAATAGAATCACTTTCTTAATTTTTCTAAGTCATGATCTCATTTTAAAATCTGATATATAGTCACTTTGCATGTTTTTTTAATGATTAGTCTCAGCAGGATTCATGCCAAGAAATGTATGAGACCAGACCAAATGAGACTAAACATGAAATTCATGGTCCCGGCGGCCAGTCTACACCCACGGATGTGGTGGGTTTTTAGCGTAGGCACGTGTATTCCATTTTGTTTCTAACTCCGCGCAACGAGTTTATTCCAACTTCTGTCGCCGCGGATAGTCAACAATTTGTTTTAACCTAAGGAGCCTGTTCCCTTTCATTTGATTTGGGCCATGGTCTGACGAATACAGACAGACGTCTCGCCCCACAAACATCCTGCTGTTCCAACATCCACCGTTGGAATATTTTAACACCGCTAATTCTGCTAATTTCATAAAGTATGCTATGCTCCCTGTCCCTTGATCTGTTAGGCCAATATGAGCAATATTATTTTAGACTCACACGACGAGAGAGTCCCTGTTGCTTTAAGGAGCGCATTTCCTACCAATAAATACTTCGTTCCCCAATGGATATGTACGAATCTGCTGAGAATATCTGGGATTCATTTCATCGTTGCTGCTTTATATAAAATTTACTCTGTAACCTGTTGGGAAGAATGGATTTATAGTGTGTGGGAACAATGCTTCGTACTTACAGTCGAAAAGGGAAGGGGAAAGATAATAAAACGAGGTTAATAGGGCTCTTGAATTCGATGGGCTCAAGTATATATAGATAATATTGTACAGTACAGACCGAACTGTCTGGGGAATAAACATTAACGTTGTTTATCTAGGGTAGGTGGAAACCCGCAAGGGCAAGGTAGCAAAAAGCAAAGAACCCTTCTCAGACCAAAGCCTCCTATGCCTTTCAAACATGAACAAACGGTGTATAGTAAAACATTCAGTCAAATCAAAATGAAAAGTCTTCTGATTTCTCTCAAAAAGGGAGAAAGAAGAAGAAAACAAAGAGTAAAAGAGAAACCAGTACAAAAATCTACGCCTGTCTATTATTGCCGTTAAGTCGCCATGCGCGCAGTGGTAGCTGTTGCACCTTCAGAACAGCGGGTCTGATATATAGGAAAAATGTAACTGCGCCGATAATTACACATATGATGTTGGTGGTATAATACCCGTCGCGATATACCTGGCAAACACCCTTGCCAGCTTCACAGCGATGTCTGTCCGCTTCAAGCGCGCAGGAAAATTGCGCCGTGAGGGGATCCTTTATGCCTGCGGGTGTTTGTGTGGGGGGTATGCAGGTTGCGCTCGTGAAGAGATCGACAAGTTTGAGAATGAAGAATTTGGGGAACGTTCCACCGAGGTTGGAGACACTGTGTGACAGATATTTAGCTTTAGATTATAAACCATTTTTCAGAAGGTATGGGGACTAGAAGGGTGATGAAAAGTGGGAAACTCACGTTGCGAGGAGGGTCATGTAAGTCCCGCCGATGGCGGGGTCGGCAATGCGTGCATGGAAGGCGGAAACAGCAACAAACATAACGGTCATCATGAACGTAGAGAAGACATGTTCGGCAATAACTACCAGGATATACCAGGTCGGCATTGGTCCGCCACCACTCGGGAAGACCATGACAACTGCCTGCGCGAGAAGTGCGGCAAACAGCCGGGCAACAAATGCCCAGCACCAGAGCCTCATTGGGGTATACTTGTTCGACCATTTGCCAGCATAGTATCCTAACCCGATCTCGAATGGGAAATCGATCAGGACGACGAGTGCCATGTTCTCTTGGCCAAAGCCCTGGTCAATTAGTTTTAGACTGGTCACGGCATCGTTGGCTTGGAAGCCGATTTTGGCGATGAGGTGGACAATGATAATGGTGTGAATGCTCTTCAGCTTCAATACACCCCACATGCTCTTATAGACTGCAAGGATGCCATCCCGATCGTTGGATTTCTCCTCTTTCTTCCGGATAGCTAGAACTAACGTGACAACGATATAGAACCACCCCCAGAATGTAAGGTAACCGCCCAAGGTTATAAGGCCAGTATTGCCATCCAGAGTGCGGAACCATTTGTTAGCGAAATCTTTCGAGTTCAAGGCCAAGAAGACAGTGTATGAAAGAAACTGGCCGGCAGTGAGACCAACCGTCTGGGCCGTGGAAGCGTAAGAGATATTCTGGGCCGACAAGAGGGAAATAGCCCAGCCGTCAACCGCAATATCCTGCGTCGCACATAGGAACACCAAGAGGAACCACCAGCCAGTAAAGTTCCAAACACCTGCACCACCATCTGCGCCAGCAGCTACCATCATTTTATCAATGCTACCTCCCAGATATAGCATTGCAATACCGGATATCATCTGGATGGGCGTGATCCAACTTTTCCTCCGCCCAAATCTTCGACTCCAAACAGCATCTACAATGGGACTCCAAAGCAGCTTCAGGGAATAAGGGTATGACGCAAGGGAGAATATGCCGATTTGGCCGTAGGAGAGGTAAGGTTTAAGAAGGAAAGGCACCGATCCACCAGCCAGCCCCATCGGCACACCCTGCAAAAAGTAGAGAAGACATAATAGTACAAAATTCCGCTTGTCGTGTACGGGTAGATCGCCAAAGCTCGTAGTTGTGGTGCCTGGAGTTTGTGGTGTGGGAGGTTCATGATTGAGCGAGAAATCCGATCTGTTCATGAGCCGGACTGTCTGGGTAGCTGAGGGAGCTGAGTCGAGGGAATTGTCCTTCCTCCGCATTTCAATAGTAGAAATCATGTCACTCTCGGCGTGGCCGTTTTCCCCGGCGGTTACGACGGCCAGGCCCGGCCTGTTGGAAGGGCGACGTTTGAGTGATCCCACCTTTTTAGAGCGCCTCATCTGAAGATTTCTTGGGTTTGGTTGACCAAACCGCGAGGGGGAAATCAGTTGTGCGCCTCGTTGATGACTTCACTGGGCCGGAATTCAGATACGTCTGTGTTGTTATTTGTACAATCCTCGTTCGTGTTCCGCTTTCCACTCTCCTCTTTCTTCAATATTTCCCGAAGCTTCTTGTAATCCTGCCAAGGAAACTTTATCGCGATGACCAGAGGCGGAAGAACTATTGGCTCTGTGACCCTGAAAGCGAGCGGAAGACAAGGGGCTGGAGTTGGACGTCCTGACCCTAGTCGGAATCAATGGTCTGGCAAGAGTCGGAAACATGGAGAGGCAAGCCGGAGGAAACGAAAGGCGATTTTTGCGCGGGAGGGAGGGATATGGCGGGAGTGCGGGCTCACCTTCAGAGGCGGCGTCCATGGGGCGGCGGAAATAATTTGAGGCAAGTTGGCCTCTGCGCGGATCTAATGGCTTAGCCCGCTGCCTAGATTGCGGATCACTGACGTGTTGGCTTTGTTACGTGCTGGCGGATGTGATAGGACAGACAGAAGCGGAGATGTGGATAAGCGGGGCTGACTAAGGGCTCAGGTAAGCAAGAGCCGCAGGGGCTCTGTTTCAATTTTAAAAACATAGATACATAACTTAACATGGAGTGGCGGCCTCGTCCCAAAGACGCTGTCTCTTGCAGAGTTATGTAGACGAACTAGTAGCAAGACACAGACTTGGGCCGATGCGGGAGCATAAATTATGTTTATTTACATCAGATAGAGCGATTTAAATTGGGATCAATAATATAAATATCCTATATATTACCTGGCCAGGAGCCTCTTCCGCTTTTTTCACTTATCCAACAGCATCTTCCCTCTATTCGCTAATGCAAACCCCATATCGAGCAACAATGACATCAGCACAAGGGAGTCCCCACGCTCATTTCTTTAGACATTTCCAACCACCTTCCTTCAGCGGAGAGTAGCCGGCTACTTTTTTGTCCTATGGTCGACTCGGACGCTGTGGCGCTATTTGCGATTCGTTCGCGGCCAGAAGTGGCAGCGCATGAGTAAAACAATGAACTTCCCTCATCACAATTGTCCACTGTTCAAATTGAAACCACCGCCTACCGCTCTATGACTTCTAACTAGTAAAAATTAAACAGCCACCCAAAAGAACCATTCAAGTCGATTGAGCAGACGCGTGAATGGATGACATTCAAGACCTACAAACAGGGGCCCCCAGATATCGTGGGCCGTTCTTTCAACTTCGCCATCTTGGACAAGTCGATTCCTGAAACGCAAGAGCAACTCATTGGCTACGTGAGCGTTAACATGGTAGTCCCCTGTCCTGAGATTAGACACTCACTTCCCCTTGAATCGTGGGCAAAGGGATATGCCACCGAGGCGTTGCAGATGATGTTGAAGATCTGGTGGGATCTCCCGAGGCGGAATGTTACTGAGCGCAGTGGAGGTGATAGTGGCGATGGTGAACGTGCGGACAAAATTTATGCCACTTGTTAGGCGGGAAATCATGTGGGTTCGAGATCGTCCAGGAGATCACCTATGGAGGTGATGATCTTCTTCTATTTGCTACAGAAAGGCCTAAAGCATAGAGAAATGCCCCTATAAAGAGGCCTGTGGCTAATGGTAACCTTTGCTGGGGTGGATGGTGCTGAATTCATGGATACGTGTGGTCTGTTATATGGTCTGTTTGTTTGACTTGGGTTATGTAACTTACTCGCTCTGGTTTACGTTGGGAACTGATAAGGCTTTGCTCGTCGATTTATTAAGGCTCATTTGTCACATTGTAAAATAAAGGAATGAATTTAACAACGATGTAACTTCAAATGTATCTCCAGGGACCAATGAAATTTGGCAATCGTTGACTACTAATTGATACAACGGTCCGCTATGTTTGGTACGGGGTCAAACTTGTGTATACAGAAAACTTGACCTCGCTAAGTGCGCCACTTGACCTCATTACATAATCATGACCCTGACCTCACACAATACAGTAATAATCAGTTGATAATTGACTTTCAATCTTTCAATTCATTCATTCACTCAGCTTATCAATCAATCAAAGCATGTATAGCTGATTCATAATCAATTAAATGAACTGATAAATTCATATAGAATATAAAGAGATATTTTACAGAATTTTAAAATATATCAAGATAAAAATATTTAATAATTAATTTTAAATTAATTTTAAATTAATTATTAATTAATTATAGTAATAAAAATAAATTCAATCTGTATATTTAAGTAATTAATAATTGATTGAAAATCAGTTAATAATCAATTCAGTGTAATTTATATAAATACTTACTTTATTTATCACGCTTCCGGCCGCGTCAAGGCCTCATTGCGGTTCCACACAGCTCATCACTTTCATGCGGATAATTTCATTCTGTCTGAACTGGTTTTCAATCACTCTATGACATCATTTAGATATATTATAGAAAGATCTGATTGATAAATATGAGAATCTCACTTCTATATAAGGTCAGCAGATTACTTTTTCTTGACAATGAGACACTGCTGAGATATCACTCTGACTATTCTCACTTATGAAATGAGAGAAGAGTATTCACTCATTATCTATATAGAATAGCTAGATACTGACTTCTTATTAAAGAAGTCAGTGATTCATTTTACTGCTACTGAAATATATACAAGAGTTACTGTATATCTCATACAATCTTCTTAGTATACTAAGTATCATATCTGTGATATTCTTGTAATAACTCTGTAGTCTACAAGCTTGCTATTTAAGCAAGATAGTCAAGCTCACTTATACAGCTTCTCAAACAACTATTTCTATATATTATCACTGACTAGTCACTGCTTTGATTCTGTTATATTACAATTCAAATCACTTAATCTGATTACATGTTTAAATCAGTCAAGCTCTAACAGACTGATATAATCTTATACACTTATACTGAGACTGATCTGATCTCACTCTCTGAAAGAAATACTACATTATTCTCTAGAGTGTATACATCTCTATCTCAGCAGAAATCCGAGATTTCTGAACTCACTGTATATTTTGACATGAGCTCTTCAACTGCTCTGCTACTGTCACAGTCTCTACACATCTACATCTATTATAGAGATAGAGAGATTAAGATTAAAGATTCTCTGAGATATAAGAGAAATATCTTGTCTGAATTTCACAGCTTTATCTGTATTCTTGAACAGAAATTCTGTCTTAATCTGAGTCAGTATAATACTCATGAGATATAAGTAATATACACTGTCAATCTTCTTGAAGACATCTCTGCAACTACTTGAACTATCAAGAAGAGAGAGCTTGAGTGTATCAATACTGTCATGACTTAAGAAGAATTCAAGAACTTTCTATTGAATTAAATCAAAGATCACTGCAACTGCAGCTTCACAGTAGCACAGCAGTTTAACTCATTATATTAATAAGATGATGAGAATTCTTCTAATTTCAATACAAGATTTGAAAAATATTGAGAGAAATTAACTGATAATTTGAATTAATTAAAAATACAGCTTTATCTCATGAAACTGACTCATAAGATGCAGACAATGATATTATAATATCAAAGTTCATCAATCAATTGCACTGAGCTTGTTAACCTGACTTCTCAGATCTATTTAAATAATCAATTCTTCAAGAAAAAGATCAACAAGACTTCTTCTAAGTAATTAATAATAAGATCTAAATAATATTATAATGACTTCAGTGTGAAGAAAGTAAAGAAGAATTTCAAGTATTCTGATTCTTCACTCACTGTAAAAAAATGTTAAAAAAGATTTGACAAAGATCTCTATTTCAACTGTGAAGCTGATAATTACTATATCAGTGATTGCAAGAAGCTGAAGAAGAGAAGAAATTAAGAAGACATCTTCTCAAAGTTAACTTCTCTTCTGACAAACATATTCATGAAAGATAAAGAAGAGAAAGAAAAGAATTAATAATTTTCATATCTTCAAGTTCATGTTATAATCACAATGCATATCCTGAATGAGAAGATACTAGTGAGATGCCTACTTGACTTTGAAGTAAATGCTAACTTCATATTCTATTTCTTTTCTTTGATGAAGAGTTGAAAGAAGATAGATCTGTCAGATCATGTAAAATTTACTGATAAAATGAAATATCACTGTTTTAGCATAATTCAAGTGAAGTGTGTGATCACAGACTCTGAAGAAATCTTCAAGAAAAGCAGTCTGCTTCTTCATACAGTCAATATCATAGATGAGAATATCATTCTAGATCTTCTGTAATTGAGAGAAAATAATTCTCTCATTGACTGAGTCACTCAGGCATGGCAGTACTGTCTCACTGATAAAGAGACAGTGATAGAGAAATCTGAAGAGTTTCATCAGAAGAATCTTAAGAAAAAGATTGAGTTGATATACTGTGTAGCAGGTGATTGAGACTTGAGAACAGATGAAGAAGTCATCATTCTCACTGTAAGATTAGCAGCAGTATCTGTTATTGAAGACAGATATATACAATGTCTCTTTACAGATTTTAAGAATATCTTTTCAGAAAGAGAAGCAGTGAAGTTTTCTGACATCAAGATATAATATAAGATTTATCTTGAAGATGATGTAATAACACTGTACAGATCTCTTTATAACTTATCTATAAAGAAGTTGAATGTTCTGTGTAAATATCTTGAAGAAGCACAATCAAAGAACTGAATATATTTATCAAAGAGTTCAACAGAGACATCTATACTCTTTGTACTTAAGAAGAATGATAGACTATGTCTATATATAGACTACAGAGGCCTTAATAAGATGATGATTAAGAATCACTATTCACTACTGTTAATTGATGAGATGATTGATTGATTATCTGAAGCAAAGATGTTCTTGAAGATTGATATACAGAATGTCTATCATAGGATCAGAGTTAATGAAGACAATATTTGAAAAATGACTTTTCATATCAAGTATAGCAATTTTAAATATCTTGTTTTATCTTTTAATCTTTGTAATACTTCAGCCATCTTTCAGATCTATATAAATGAGATGCTGCAGGGCCTTGTCAACATCTTCTGCATAGTATATCTGAATAACATTTTAATCTTCTTAAAATCAGAGAAAGAATATGATATTCATGTTTGAGAAGTGTTGAGTCACTTGAGACAGTATTAACTCTATACAAACACTGAAAAATGCTCATTCTACATGCAGAAGATTGATTTCTTAGATTATATTATTAAGATGAATGACATTTCAATGAACAGAAGCTGAGTCTCTGTCATTGAGAACTGATCAGTGTTATGAATATACCGTGAGATGCAGATGTTTCTAGAATTTATGAATTTCTACAGATGATTCATCTATGCATATTCACAGATTACTGTCTTTCTTACAGATCTGTTAAAGAGAAGTGTGAAAGATAGAAAAACAGAACTGTTTACTCTCATTTAAGACACTGCTCAGACATTTGCAGAATTGAAACAAGCTTTCACAGATATCACAATACTGAATCACTTTAATCTTAACTTACTCAGTCAGTGTGAGACTGATATATCTGAGAATGAGATCTGTGAAATCTTTTCACAGTTGACACTGAAGACCTTTCAATGTTGAAAGAATCAGAGAATAATTATTTCTGAGAAAACAGATAATGAATTGTCTGTGAAAGAAGACTTTTTCACAGAGTCTATAAGACACTGTGAATAAAGATCAGTGACTTTCTTCTTCAAGAAGTTATTACTCACACAGAGAAGATATAATATTCATAATCAGAAGATGTTAGCAATTGTCAAATTCTTTAAGATCTGATAACATTATCTTCAGAGTAGTAAGTACTCAGTGCAAGTTCTCACTGATCATGCAAATCTGTATTACTTCTTGATAACAAAGAGCTTGATAGAACATTAAGCCAGATGAGCAGAGCTGCTTTCAGAGTATAATTTCTATATCTGATACTGTTCAGATCAGCTTAACCCTGTCAATACACTGTCTAGACAGCTCAATTATAATATCATTAATGCAGAGAAGAATTCTATAAAAGAATCTCTGTCATCACTATAGAAGAAGCTGACTGCAGAGGATTAAGATTCTCTAAAGCTTAGAAACAGTGCTGAAGAGGCAGCTGCATAACTCAGTATAGAAGATGAAAGAGAATCTGAATCTCTGCAGAAGACTGACACTGAAGATTATAAGCTTCTTATATCACATCTTACAATTATTGAATTAGCAAAGAATGAAACAGTCTACAATCTTCTAACTTAACTACTTTTGAAATTCATTGAAGAGTTATAGAAGAAGAACATCTCTACTACAGCTTGAATTCAAAAGTTAAAGAAGAAAGAATCTGGTTTGAACTTGAAAGAGACAGACTCTGAGCAGAGTGATACTGCTAAGAAATCAAGTCACTGATAACTAGAAGAATATGAACTTCTACTGCTGAATGATTCAGTCTTCATCTCTTATAGTAGAGCAGTGTGTCAGAAGTTATTGAGAATTCATCATAATAATTCTTATACAGAGCACTTCAGATTAGAGAAGACTGAGAAGCTTCTAAAATATAAATACACTTAGAACAAGCTCTGAACAGATGTCAAAGAGTATATTAAGACTTATAATATCTATCAAAGAATAAAGATTCTGTAGTATAAGTAATACAGTGAGTTGATATCACTGTCTATTTCAAAGAGCTTATGATAGAATCTATCAATGAATTTCATAGTTAATCTGCTGAAGTCAACAAGAGTCAAAGAATATAACTTAATTTTGATCATTATTGATCACTTCACAAAGATGATCAGATATATCTCTACTTATAAAAAGATTAAAGCCTCTGAATTGACTGATCTGTTTTTAGATATCATCATTCATAATCATAGTACTCTGAAATCATTGATAACAGATTGAGAATTCCTCTTTATCAGCAAGTACTGGTCAGCTTTTTACTATCATCTTATGATAAGATATCTTCTCAGTATCACTTTTCATCTGTAGATTAATAATCAGACTGAATATCAGAATCAGATACTAGAACAGCATCTTCAAGTATTCTATTCATATTATCAGAATGATTGACTTAAACATCTTCTGATCACTGAATTCATATATAACAATATAAAGAATGCAATCTTAAAGATATCTTCTTTCTATACTTATTATGAATATAATTCTTCATTACTCAGTGATGTTGTAAATGACATTTCAAAGAAAGAGATAGATAGTCAGAATGTCAGACAGATACAGAGAATGAAGTATCTCTCAATATCAGAAGTAAAAGCAAGATTGAAACTTTTAAACAAAATTTATAAGAAGACAGTGAAAAGTATTCATCACACTCAGAAGTAGTAGATAAAATACTACAATTGAAAACATCTTCTGATGAAGTTCTTGATAGAGGATTAAGTACTACTTTCAGTAAAGAATATCAAGATAATGAGATTATATAAGAAGCTCAGTAAGTAGTGACTAGAATCTTTTCTGATAACAAGAGTGATAAGTAAGCAGATATATAAGTTGAAATTACTCACAGAATTGAAATCAATTCATTCTATTTTTTACATTTTCTATTTGAAGCTCTATAAGTAATGTCTCAGAGTGAAGCTGTCTCAGCTGAATAACATTAAGATTAAGAGTGATACTGAATATCTTATGAAGAAAATATTGAATAAGTGAATATATTATAATAAGCTTCAATATCTTATTAAATGAGAAGATTATTCATTATCAGAGAATTCATGAAAATTACTTAAGTATTTGAAAAATACTGAGAAAGAGATTGCAATCTATGAGACAGCTAGTAGAGATTACTCTGTTATATATCAGAGATGTTGAGTAAGAAATACTACTTAAGACTTCTCATTTTTCTTAAAGGATTTTTTTAGAGATAATCTCACAGTAGACTGGCCGCCGGGACCATGAATTTCACGTTTGATCCCATTTGGTCTGGTCCCATACATTTCTTGGCGTGAATCCCGCTGGGACTGGCTATCAAAAAAACAGGTAAAGTGACTATATATCAGATCTTAAAATGGAACCATGACTTGAAAAAAATGAGAAAGTGGTCTCATTTGGTCCCATTTAGTCCCATTCTTGGCATAAAGTTACTATTTTTAGACATTTTAAGGTTTTTTTTAGACTATTTTTAATTTTTTAAAAAGTAACACTTTTTGGTAACGCTCAAATGAGATTTAAAGTCATTTAAAGCAATAAAAATAATTTAAAATGAGAAGTGGAAATCATGGTCTCATTTGGAAAATGTGACAAGAGTAGACAGTAAGTCCCACTGGGACAGTATGAGACTACTATCTAATGTTAAAAGTGTGTAATGGGATCAGTCGAATTGGTAATGAAACTATCAAAAAATCTGGTCCTGGTCCCAGACACGGTCACACGGTCAGTCTATCTCACAGTGATGAGTCAGTATCTTATAGACTCTGTAACACTCTTCTTCTATTTTCTCTCAAAGAGTTTTTAGAAGTTTAATAAGACTATACAAGTATAAAATTTCTGAAGCAGTTAGAGAAAAGAAATATTGAAAATCAATAAAAAGATTAATATTATTGATTCACAGACTGCTGCTATTCTAATAGAGCTGCAGCTCACTGAAAAAGTAAAAAGAGAGATCAGAGTCTACTTACTAATAATTATATTCTCATTAAACTTATTCTTCACTGTTGAAGTCTTTAGTATCAGTATCTTTGTCTACTGAGAAGTTAGTACTGCAGCACTGTAGAGAAGTATGCTGTAGAAGAGTATAAAAGATGCTGAAAGTATCAACTTATCAACTTATAAAGCATCTCAGTTATCTACTCTAACTGAAGTAAGATTCTCTTCAATCAGTGATTGATCTCTGTAGTACTTTCAACAGCAGCACTGACTGATCTCTTCTTAGAATCAGTTATTCTGAGATGTTTTTTCATCTCAGAGATTCATGCTTTCATCTTCTTTTGTAGATGAGTAAGAGAGATCTCTTCAGTCTTGATGAAATTCATCAATACTTGAAGCTTCAAGACTCTCACTCTGTACTGCTTAAGCATCTAGACTTTTTATCAGAACTGATACAATGTCTTTCTGTGAAATAATACTTACAGAGAGACAGGAGTTATTGTTACAGATATAACAGAAATAACAGAAGTGAGAGAAGAAGTGAATATATAAAATCTCTCTCTTCTTCAGCTGCTTAATGCAGTGCAGACAAGTAGCAGTGCTGATCAGAGACTGCATCAGAGCCTTCTCACAGAGAGAAGACAAAGGAACCACAGGACTCTGTGAACTCAACTCAGCAGCATCTCAAGCAGGGCTCGGGCGTGCCGTGGGAGGGGAACTACAGATTGAGCTCCTTGAAGCCACTGTTCTCAGAACCAAGCTCTCCCTGAGTTCCTCTCTGAATGACCACACAGGGTCATACACCACTGTATTGGCTGAGGGGGGGGCGGCGTTACAACAGTGATGAGGGGGGCAGGGGACAGACCAGATGCAGATGCACTGACCAACAGAACTGCTGCAGCTGCAAGAGAAGCAGAAGAAGGTGTGACAATGGGAGCAGAGCTCCCGCGGCTCATTGACACTGTCTCCACCTTCAACCTGGCTTTCTTTACAGCTACAGAGGCTGCAGCCGCACCACAAAGATGTTTACTCACTAGAAAATGTCAGAATAAGCCCTCTATTGTTCTCCAAGAATGATACTCTCATGCACTCACTGTTGCAATTGAGAGAGAGAGAAGAAAAATGTTTTACAGAGAGAGAGAAATCTTTCAAAAAATCCTATCACTACTGTTAGCTTTGTCTCTAAAACACATCACTTTTGCAGAGAATTTCATATATAGAATAATATATGATGAGAGATCTGCAAGTCACTTATTAACTACATTTTTCACATTCTAAATCAATATATAAGAAACTCACTTATCATGTGTTTGATTTGAATAATGATGAGAAAAGAAAGATCTACACAGTTAGCAGAAAAACTCATCTATTTCTTTGTATTACATACAGCACACACACTGTCAATCAGTTGATAATTATTACTATATAACAAAGATAATTTCTAATTCAGTAATCTTAAGAGTATAGAGACTATATTCTTAAAGAGAAGAGTATTATCACACTCTCAGCTATGCCAAGACTCTGTTACAGTTCCACACAGCTTATTACTTTTATGTGAATGATTTCATCTCATCTGAACCAGTTTTCAATCACTCTATAACATTATTCAGATATATCATAGAAAGATCTGATTGATAAATATAAGAATCTCACTTTTATACAAGGTCAGCAGATTACTTTTCCTTGATAATAAGATATCACTGAGGTATCACTCTGACTATTCTCACTTATGAAATGAGAGGAGAATATTCACTCATTGTCTATATAGAATAGCTAGATGCTGGCTCTTCATCAAAGAAGTCAGTGATTTGTTTTACTGCTACTGAAATATACACAAGAGTTACTGCATGTCTTATACAATCTTCTTAGTATACTAAGTATCATATCTGTGATATCCTCATAATAACCCTGTAGTCTACAAGCTCACTATTCAAGCAAGATAGTCAAGCTCACTCATACAGCTTCTCAAACAACTACCTCTACATGTCACCACTGACTAGTCACCGCTTCGGTTCCGCCACGTTACATTATTATTAAATTTAAGAATAATTTCAGTATTAAATTAATTTTAAATTGATTTTAAATTGATTCTGAATTAATTGTTAATTAATTATAGTAATAAAAATAAATTCAATCTATATATTTAAGTAATTAATAATTGATTGAAAATCAATTCATAATCAATTCAGTGTAAATTATATAAATACTTACTTTATTATTAAATTCAAGAATAATTTCAGTATTAAATTGATTTTGAATTGATTTTAAATTGATTCTGAATTAATTGTTAATTAATTATAGTAATAAAAATAAATTCAATCTGTATATTTAAGTAATTAACAATTGATTGAAAATCAGTTGATCTCTCTATATATTAAAGAAAAACCAACTTTTCCGTGCAAAAAACGCTGTAACGTGACCTCACATGACATCACACGGGCCACATTTGCGAGGTCAGCTTACATAGAGGTCAAGTGGCGCACTTAGCGAGGTCAAGTTTTCTGCTTCCTGGTCAAACTTTCAGACAAACCTTGGGACATAGCCTCTGTAATCAGGGGGCCGACCAAATGAAGCCTTTCCTTGGCTCCGCCGTTTTCTAAGTCACTTGGTGTTGAATACAAAGTTTGGTGTCCTACTTAGGGATGCCATGTCGCGGGGCAATCAAGGGGCTAATCATCCTGGCTATGTGCCTTTGTCGGAATGGGTATCTCGGATGAATATGTCGGAAACATATGAATCTCATGTGTATCAAGATCTGCTTCTTATATTCTCTGTACTCTATCTATCCTAGCTAATTGCATACAAAATATAGCACTATTTATAGGAAAATGAATGTGTGAGCCAAGAAGCTAGCATTAGCAAGTATTTAATGAGCAATTGTAGTAGGCTGATGATGATAAGAAAAATAGTAGTAATACAATGTTGGTGGCGTTCATAGCGCATGACCTCTTATTTCCCAACAGCCTTTCATTGAAACAACACCTTGCCTTCAATAGGGCATACTAATTGGCATACCAGATCCAATAGAAACGTACAATGAGGAATGAATCCGCCTGCGATATAGCTACGAATTTGCATCTTCGTTTTATTTGGGCTGTAGTTTGCAATTGGAGTGGAATTTTCCAACGCATTCTATCTGAGGGAGGCACCTACTTTCCTATGACTTGGAAGCACTTGAAACTTCAAATTATAAATGCCATATCTAGATATCTTGCACCGAAAACAGAGAATCTTGGTATATGGGGGTCCAGCAATAAGGGGCATATCAATTTAGTATGCTTCATGAGCGCAGATGAATACAGAGATTATGGGCACACATTAACGTGAAGAAATTATGTCCAATATATCCTAGAACTTTTCAAGATCAAGAGCAACAACATGTCTATTTCCCGGCATCTCCATTTGTGCCCACAGCCCATACCCCTTCTGATAAGACAAGTCCTCCGGCACGCCAGAGAACACGTCCTTATACCCCTCCTGTCCGTCCTCCCATGTAAACGTCCACAAGCTACCACCGCTCTGGGTCAGGAAGTACTTGTTGTTGATCATGATGCTGCCCTGGATTTTAGTGAGGGAATGCTGGACAGCTCGAGAGGCAGTTGCGATGTTGTCGCCATCGACTTTAAGTAAGTGGCTGCTTTCGTCGAGATCCCAGTGTGTAAGGCGACCGGGGCCACTCGGAAACCATTCACCGGTAACAAGGCTTGGGTGTACATTAGAGCTTCACTTCGACAGTATACGGGGGTGTATTTACTTCTATGAATATGTACGTACCTTGGAGGGTTGCTAGTCTTGTCAAGTCCAACGAAGGAGAAATGCAAATTTTTGACACCTTCTTTCGGCTGCCACTTGTAGGCTCGCACTTGCGGTAGGACATATCTGGAGCGAAAAATGTTAAAAAGAAAATCGGCGGCAACTGTCGAAAGGGATCTGTTTACCTGTAATTGTGTGCTTGATACTCATTTCCAACACGGCCAATACCGTCTCCGATGGCAACTTCGTAGATGTGCCTCAAATCGAAGACCAGAAGTCCCCCTGTAGTCGCGACCACATAGAGGTAATGCCCGTACCAGGCAATCCCACCAGCATGGAGGCCACTAAGCGCTTCGAAATTGGGCTTTGACCCACCCTCGGTCGGCCGAACAAGGAGGATATTGCGGTAGGCTCTCTCAGCTCCTTTATTCATGTTGATGAAGGAGATGCGCGGACCGCGTTTCCCATCATTATAATTATCCGAGTGCCAGGATATCAGGGTGGCGACGTCGCCTTCATAGTCACCCGTATCGGTTGCGTCTGCGGTCGTGGTTATGCCTTGAGGATACCACTTCCGTGTGTTGACATCATCATACCCATCGACGTCCTCCCACGTAAAAGCTTGCAGAGTGTGCTTCACATCTGGAGAAGAGTCTGGGTTTCTATGATTAGTGGTTGCCAGGACTTGTTTGACCGATTTGATGGGCAGGACCTTATCCAGGTCTTTTATATTGTCAGAGCATCCAGTTGCTTTGAGCTTGTAGTCGTTCACGGTGATGTTTTTGAATTCTGCGGCCGCTAGGGGCAGCGCGCAGAGGGCTGCAACCGCGGTGAGAAGCAGTGAAGGCAAGACCACCATGTTGTCTCTTGATAGTGGGTTGAGAGCGGGTTGGAAAAGTGTTTCTTGATTCTACATCATGCAGGCCAGGGCGAGCCCGGGATGGCCTCCAAGTCTTATATGTGCATGCTCAGCCATGTTGATCGTCGCCGCACGGGATGGCGAAACTTGATCACTCAATTCCAAGTTTGCTTCTGCATGTGTGTATGTTACTCTTTTGTGTGCTGTGCAAGCGACTTGAAACGTCCTAAGATCACGAACTTTGCTGACACAAGTGGAATCGGTGCTGACAGCGATTGGCCTTGCACTTGATCGAATTGGTCTGCGCCTCGTCTAGGCTGTTGCAGAGTGTCGAAGAGCATTGTGTGATGTCTGTTATTGGTGGATGAGGAGGTTAAGCGGGTTGTGGGGGTACGAGGTATCCTAATAGAGGGGACAAGCGACACAAGCTTGGTACGGTACAAAAAATTATGCATGAATAAAATATGCACCAGGCGTGTATTTTACACGTGCCAAGTAATTTATTACCACGCTCAAGCCTTGGCATCAACATCACCAAACAATCGATTGTTGATCATCAGCACAACATCCACGACGAGACGGACAACCTAGGAAAACCCAATGCCCGTATCTGCGTGGTAAATGACGTCGCTATGTCTGTAGATGTGCTGGATACCACTGTGCCTGACATAGACGACGTGTCAAGCGGCCTCGACGATGAAATCGCCGCACTACGTGCCCAGAGTCAGTTCACCCTTCGTTCCCGCCCGGCGTTTGTTATTGCTGACAGCATTCATAGTCCACAATCTCTCCAATCGCAGGCAACTCCTTTCATCAAGCCTCCTATCGACCAATACCGTACAAGATGTGCTGGCTCAGCATGTTCCGCTCGGGTTGGAAAAGGATATAGAACCTGTCATCCTGAGTAGCGGAAAGCATGCCCAAACCAACCACCATCGCATTACCTTCTCCGTTACATCCTTTCCTTTTAAGGACCCTTCGCCTCACGCGGCGTCATCCAACTTACTAGGTATTCGAATTGACATCTGCACGCGCCATGGAACCTTTGTTAAACCATACTATCTACTGTTAAAACGCGTTGGCGGACCGGAGAAGAAGTTCCTCCAAGTACATCGCCATACCATTCCTATCTTCGTACCATTGACTCAGCTGGAACAAAGATACCTTTCTGTGCCCCGTGGCACAAATGGAGCGGATTCCGCAATTGCGAAATCGCGCAAGGCTCCAAAGCAGGATTTGCGTAGCCTCGTGCGAGAATTAAGGCAGGAGCTGGTCGCTTGGCATTTGCGCTGCGATGCGCTCAAGTGGTTACAAGAGGAACTTGGTATCCCGGACGAGAGCGGCATGGATGAGTCGCAGGTGTCGCAGCGCAACCTTCATGACGACCCGCGTCCTGAAAGCGATTTGGGGATTGTATCCGTTAATGCAACCGCTATCGAGACGAGATACATTCGCATTGAATGGCGGGATGGCCGTGTAGGCCGCATAAAACTCTCCAACAAGGGATATGTGGAGCGCGCTATTATCATTGGTGATGAGGGCAGAGATAAAGTGACCGAAAACTTACTGACAGGGGGTGACGGGCGGATCGAAAGTGCAATTGAAAGGTTGCGCGGTGCCTTGAAACCTGGATGAGTGGGTCATACATAGCGGCTAATTCGGAATAATTGAAAACCTAACGCATTGTGTCATTGTCACATATGCCCAACCTAGCTGTATGATGACATTTATGCTCGTTGATTGGCCGCTGTGGTTTCTACTGACATGTCCCTCTCCCCGATTGCCAGGCTCTATCCGCAGTGAGAACCCATCTCGTGGTATTTATTACCAAGTACATGCACACTACGGCGATCACTACTGGTTCTTAATCATAATCAGTCGCATGCGGGCTCATCATTACGTTGAAACATCCGCGTACGCTCTGCGTATCCACCGCTAGCAGCTGTAGCCTCGATTTATTACTAATGGTCCCTAACTACTATCTAAAGCGTACGGCTGGATACCCTTTCTCCACTTTATCTCGAAAAGTAGATGCCAATATAGTCGCTGGAACTCGAGGGCTAGACGCCAAAGTACCAGTTCCATATCCTGTATTCGTTTGAAGTTTCGTTTTTTGGTCACCTCTCGAATTTTAGGGTTACAGGAATTGGACCGTTTCAAAATGAGTTAACCGAGGGAGTTCAATACTAAAAGTACTGGGAGTTGGACGGCCTTAAAGCCTCTGGCGAGAAAATCGCGATGCGATCTCGGCATCCTCTGAGCCATCGCCTATTACTGGCAAGCACTGGGAAGACGCCCCACCTTTTTTTTAAGCGAAAAAATGTCTGTACATGAGCTCTCTCACCAGCCGGTCGTTCAGGCTTTTGCCTACGCTTATCGTTCATCTTTGTTTCGGTAGTGAGCGATGAAAATGGGGAGAACAGGAGGGGATATGGACGCAACAACCCTTCCACTTTCTCACCAGTGCTGAAGGAGTCACCCAGTCCAGGACGATGCGTCACGTTAAAGGGAATTGCGATGGGAACGAATTTGACAGGTGGAATATCAAAAATACCCTATTGCTGATAAGCAGCTTTGCAAGGTAGTTGAACAGAAGTCGCACGATGATAAGGGGGAGTTGTGGAGAATTGAACGACGATAATATTAGTAGTAAAAATAAAATATTTAGCGGTTGCGCTTTTTTTCATTGTTGCATTTTCATAGATCTAATTTTATGACGTCGAGTATCGCTCCAAAAGTTGACACTGGAACCTTTGCCATAACTCTCGTGGTGTAGCCGGAAGAAGTTTGTTTTGTCAAAGTTGAACATTACGTACATACTCTTTAGTCTTGAGAGTTAGAGGCTTTTAGCGCTGTTAATTGGATCATGCAAGTCTCCCACCAGCATCAAAATGACAACACCTGAATCAGATTCATGGGGAATTAACAAATACCCATGGATTTCATCGAGAACAGGCGGCAGCTTTATTCTAAACAAGGTCCCATTCGTGTTAATAAAAATGGCTAGATTTGAAGAGGTGTAGAATTAACTAGAGGTTGTCTAAAACGTATTTCTGATTTGGATTTTTATTTATTTTTCATGGCAGCTGCCAGCGTTTGCGAGGTCGATTGTATTCATCCGGTTGTTTAAAATGCAACCGTGGAAAAGTTAATGGAGTACAAAATCAATTTTTTGTGAAGCATACTACATTAAAATCGTATCTGGCAGGTTGATGTGGGATTCTGTGTAATGTCAGATATAGATATTGGGTGACGTAGTGTCAATTTGTAACATAGCAACGAGTTCGTGAAACATCTTTCTCAAACCTCAGAAATGACCAATATGCGGAGTGCTTCCCACGAACATCTGCCATTTTCATGGGAACTACTAAATTAAATCAAAACCGCTCCACATAATTCTCCGATCTCAAAATTGTGATGGTCGTGTCCTCAATTTAGTGTACAAAGGATCGCAAGGGGTTAAAGGATTTGTTTTGAAGTGTCATTCATGGATGGGCATTGCGCTAGTTGGGACGGGGAATTTTAAGCTTAAATGAACCCCTGCAGGCACGTTTTTGAGCCCCAAAACTTTAATCATGTTCCAGTTACACCTGAAGTGTTTCCCCGCATTCAGGAGACGTCATTAAGACAATGACACAATTCGCGTTTTAACTTAAAGAGGCTTTGAAAATTCGCATGGTTCAAAATTAGAATATGTATCAGAATTTGATAAGTGAAGTAGAACAAGTAGAAGAAGAGGAATGACTGTACTCGTCCTCGTTATTACGAGTCATTGTCGGTGACCTATATATAATGATCTATGGTAGACTTTATTATGTTGGTCAAGTAAGTATGTGATCGTTCTCTAAGCACTAGAGTAAATCGAACATGAATGATTAGAGGGTAGGTCTTCACAGAGGCTTGTCGAATCAGTATTACAAAACAAGGTAGAATAGAGGGATCGCAAGTCGAATTAACTTAATATATAGTTTGGTATGTACGGCTGAATGAAATATTACACTAAATATTATGGGCAAAAACAGATCGCTTAAATCTGCTTCTATTTTTTGCCCTTTTTCTTGACACCTTTCCTCTATACAAAGTAAACAAAACCAATCATGTTATGCAACAAAAATGAAAAAACCAAACGAAAAGAAAAACTGAATGAGAACCATGCAACAGAAAATGAGGGGTATAGAACTGGCATCATGTCGTAAAACAGGGGATGAAAGGGCCGTTAAAAGGTAGAAAGGAGTACGAGTTATATGCAGAGTTGATATGGGGTGGATACTTAGGGGAGCGTGAAAGTGTCGGACTCTTCATAAACCGGACCGCATATCAATGGGAGCCGTGGGTGCCGGAGTGCCAGGGCGTATTGCAGACAGAGAGCAAAGGGGAGCGCACCAAGGTTGATTCATGAGATGCGCGTCGTGTTGTGTGAGTCGAGATTAATCAGGTCTCTCTGCATATTCCTCCGAAAATGAAATCACTGGCAATGGAACATAAGAGATACCCGTGTCGATTTCCAATCTTTTTCTAACAATCGCTTCTTCAAGCATCCACCTCATTCTCAGGTGTTGTTTTCGACTGAGAAACCACGCATTAGCAGCTGCAGTCTCGTTGTCACAACGGCTGACAAGGTTCTGGAATGCGTTCTCATGTACTTGGGCCACTTTGCTGGCTTTCTTCTCCTGCTTGGACACTGTTTCTAGGTATTTCCGTTCTTGGGTGTCTCGGAGCACTTTGATCTTTGATATATGGAGAGTATCCATCCTGTCCCGTTCGCGGTACTTTTCGAGTAGATGGTCCCTATCTTTTTGAGTGACTTGGCGGTGGGGTTGATGGATATAAGAGTGGTTGTCAACATCGTTATTCGAAAGCCTGGATTCGGAATTTCGCGGAGCGTTACTGAGGTAACCTTCCATATGGAGGATACGCATCTCTAGAGTTTGCCTTTCTCGCCGTAGTTCCTCAACTAGATCGAGTTCAGAGCTAAGTTGAAGCTCCTCAAGTCGATTTGCTTCTTGCATATTCTAAAAGTGTAAAGTTAACACAGAATAATACGCAGGTTTAAAACCTAAAGCACACTAACCTGGTCATCTATATCACGTTCCACTTTCTCATATTCCCTTCTCTTCAAAGATTTCGACTCTTCGTGCCTGAGATAAAGAGTTTCGAGTGCTTCTTCCTTGAATGCCAGGAATCGGTCTCGTTGGGCTTTCTGAGCACTACGCAATTCTTGTATTTTAGGGCAATTCAAAGTCTTCATCGTAGCAAGCTTATCAACATTATTGCTATGATTGAACGAGGGGTTATTATTCGACTGCGGGGTCTGGTTTCCCAATTTGGACTGCGAATCTAGGAATTGTAGGTTGTCAAGGCCTGGCGTGATGGATCTGGTTTCGGACCATACAGGAGAGGTAGGTGTTGAGACGGCTGTAGCGGAACGCCTTCTAAAATTCGAAAATTTTCCAAAGGATAACCTGAAACTACTAAACCTCACCCTTCGCTCACGACTACCCTGTTTCACGAACGATAAACTTGACCTGTAACACTGTCCGGGCCTTGACACCGGCGAAATGGATGGCTGCTCTACAACGGAGCCGTGCGATGTTGGGCGCGTGGAAATGGAGGTAGCAGAATACATACTGCTGGCGATTTCATTGCTTGAGGATATAGTTGGCGGAGAAGACACATTATTGTTATTTGCATGAGGAGAGCTGGTTGAAGTAAGAGGAGAAGATTCCAAGTTAAGAGGAGAAGATTCCAAGTTAAGGTGAGAAGACTGATTGGGAAAATGGTTCGCCAATTGGGACATATCGAACTGTGGATGTATAGCATTAGAGGTCTCTAAACCAATCCCTTGGGCTATACTGATAAGCTCTTTTTCCACGTCTTCTTCCGCCTGGCTAGGTGGGATTTGTAGAACAACCTCATGGTATTGGCGTTGGTTGACTGGGGGGCAACTGCTAGGTTCGATGTCGTTTTCCACGAAGGATAGTGGTAAGCTTTCTGGCGCCATCGCCGTCGCTATGTCCATGGTTTAAGATCGGTAGAGGTAAACCAGCAAACAGGGTACCCGCGACGGCGTTTCGAACCGACAATCGTGATGGACATTAGATAGGGGCAAGGGTGACGAAATGATTAACTAGTAGGGATAGATGGCTGGCGACGACTTGCGAGCCGCTAGCTCTCGAACTCAAGGGGTTTCGAATGCACCTGAGATGGGATATGAAAAAAGGTTCTAGATGCAGTTTGGCCGGAGAAAGAGGTTGGAAAGACTGGATGCGAGCTGCAAGCTGCAACACAAACAGGTTTGCGCCCATTCCAACCCAAAAAATCATACAGGGCGGGATGCACGGGATGCACGTGATTCTCAGCAAAAGGAGTGGGCCGAGGATAAACTAGTCCTTCTTTAGTAGGTGACACATGCGGATTAACCGATTTGAGCTTAGATTAACGAGGGAGGAGTTGACCCCGACTTGGCGTCGTCCAAACCGCGGTGGAATAGGATAAAATCTGAAAGAGGCAGAGGGGCAATTGACAGTGTGTGTACGCCTCTACGAAGTGGGTTTGGCATAAAAACACTAATGTTTGGTAAAGCTGTTTGTCTGGCATTTGCCAATTCCAGCATGACAGTGTTATTATTATTATTATTATTCTTCAATTATAGATGTATGCAGTCAGAGACTATGACATCTACCTGAGAACCTTTAGTTCTCAGGGTTTTTCCTATATCTATAGAGTCAACTATTATACACTTATCAATTTCAGATATGCAAAATCAGAAAATTCCAGCTCAGAATACAAAAACTGTTTACAAATTGCAGTATTTCAACATCTATTAATACTTTGAAATCATTTGAAAATATCATGACAAAGGAAAAGAGAACATAGTCTTAAAGATAGACATATTAAATAGATAGATAGAACAGAAAGAAACAAGTACAGCAATGAGAGACTATAATAAAATAAAATTATTAAAAGATAGTATATAGCTGTTTTAACAGACTATATCTAATTAATTTCCATCTCTTCATATTCAGATACTTCTGAGTTGAGTCATTTTCTTATAGCTGCTTGAGTTTCTGATAGAAAGTCTATTAAGTATTTAAGTCCTGTCTCAGTTGAGAATAAGAATCTTATATTTAATTAATTTAAATCATACTTCTTCTTTAATCTTACTCTGAGACTATTGTATAATATACAATGCATTACAATATGCTCAGAATTCTCATTTATATTGCAGAATAAGCACTCTGTTGAATTAAATCTATCATCAAATCTTTGTATATAGAATTTGAAACAACTATATTCTAGTTTTAGCTGAATTATAAATAAGAATATTTTCTTTTTACATTTAATTGAACAAGATTTTTACTTTGATTTTATCTCAAATCTTGAATAATGCATGCTCTTCTTTTGTTTCAGTCAGTTTTTATTTCACTTATTTAAATAAGATTCTTTTATCTTTCTCTTTATAAAAGATCAGAACACTGTTTTTTGAATAGATCTGCTTAATTCTGAACTCTTTTTTACAGCTGAATCAGTCAATTCATTGTTCTGAATATTCATATAAGCAGGAACTTAATGTAGATGAATTATCAGTTTAGATATTCTTCTCTTTTAAATTTTCAAAACAGAGTTTAATATCAGATTAAAATTCATTTGATTATTATAAATCTGACTATTTCTATAGATTCTGCTAAAAGCTTCAATTCTCAGTTGCTGATTCTTAGCTGAAAAACTCATGAAATTCCTGTTCTTTCACTCTGAAGCTTCACTGTGTACATGTATAAATATTCACTTCAATCACTAATTTCCACACTTTCTCTTTCTTTCCTACTCTTACATTTTTCACTTTGTTATATAAGATCTATAAATATTATACCGATCTATTCAGCGTAGATATCTTAGAACTCAGTTTTATTAATATCAAATTGAATTAGATTGATATCTGCTCTAACAAAGATTTTCTATACTGCTTTCTCAATCGCTTCTAAATTCTCTTTGATTGTCTTTGAACTGTAGACTAGATCAATATTATCTATATAACTTAAAGATCTCACTATTTTCATCTCTCTATTTCTGAATAGATATACAGTGTATATTGTAAGTAGAACTGATGAGATTGAAGATTCTTACAGTACTTTCATTTTTATCTCAGTCTTATCTTATTTCATTCTATCAAAGAATAGTTGTATAATTCTTTTAGATATAAAACAGTCAACTCATTTTATTAGAGAAAATGACAGTTTTAACAGCTTCAAAGTTTGAATCATCTTAGACTTTGAAATATGATTGAATGTTTCTTTTATATCAATAAAAACTGCAGTTGAGACCAGGACTTCATACTTTGCTATTTGAATGTTATGAACAACTGAAAGAACAGTGTCAATTGTAGAACATTGTTTTCTATCATTTATTTATTCATTAAATAGAAGAGAGTCATTAATAAAGCTTATAAAAGATAGTCTAGTAGCTATTATCTTTTCTAGAATTTTTCTCAAACAGTTTAATAGAGATATTACTCTGTATAACTTAAAAATTGAGGCTTTTCTATTAAATTTTATAAGAATTACTTCAGTAGCTTCTCTTCAGCATTCAGAATGATAATCATTTTTTAAGAGATTAAGAAAGAGCTTAAAATATTCATTCTTCAAGTAGAAATATGAGTTTTCAATAATTAAGTGATTGATTAAATCAGGCTATGCAGTAGTTTTAATTGAACTTGAGAATATAGATGACTCTAGTTCATCTTATATAAGCTCAGATTATTCCCAGTTATTTTTATCAATATATTCATGAAATGATATATTCTTCTCTTCTAAATGTGATGAGTTTTGAAAGAGAATTCTCATAAAAGCTTAACACTTTTTCTTAAAAGAGTTTGCTGTATATGATTCATTCTGAAATTCATATTCTAAGGTTGAAAGCTTCACTTCACTTCTTGTTTTAGTATAGTTAAAGACTTTAAAAACTTCTTTTTCTTATGCTTCTTCAAGAAATCTGTTTCAGCAGTCTGTTTTAGCTCTTCTAATATCTGAGAAATATTCATTTCAGATAGCTTTGAACTTTTTATCAGATATTAAGTTATTCTTTCAATCTCTCTTAACAGTGACTAATTGTTTTCTTTTAGAATTGATATTCTCATTTCATCAAGGTTTGAAATACTCAGAAGACTTTTTCTTTGAAATATTTTCTTCAATACTTATTAGAAGAATAGATGTAATTAGCTTTACTCTATTCTCAAGTATTTCATTTAAGATATCTTGATTCTGATTTCACTAGAGCTCACTTCACTTTTCAGATTTCAGCTGTTTTACACTTTCTTCAACTGCTTGTCAATCAGTCTTTTCAAAGTTATACTGATTAGAGAGAAGAGGATTTTCACTTATTTATTTTTTACTCAGTTCAATATTAAATTGAATAATTTCATGATCTGATTCTGAGATCTCATTTAAATCAATAAATCAGTTTATAAGTCTTTTTTCTATTAGATTTTGTGACATAAAAGTTAGATCTATAATAGATTTCCATTTCATGTCTTTTCTAAAGAATGTTTGTTGATCAGACTTGTTAACTAAATCTATTAAATGCTTAAAAGTTCATTTAATCAGTTTATCTGCTCTTACTACTGTTCTGCATTCTGAATTTTATCAGAGATGATGTGCATTTAAGTCTTCTACAATGATAGAGTTTTTTAAGAGAATTATATTCAAAAATCCTGTGTCAATTATTCAGGAATTGTTGTTTACTTTCAATGACTTTTCATTATAGATATTTATCAGTTTAATGATATTAAACTCATTCTCTTTATCTATAATATCACTCACTAGAATATCGGAGTCAGATATGATATCAAATCTCAGATTAAATTAATATTGTGATCTTTGTAAGAAGTCTACGCCGAATAGATCGGTATAATATATAGATCTTATATAATAAAGTGAAAACTGTTAGAGAAGAAAAGAAGGAGAAAGTGCGGAAATCAGTGATCAGAGTGAATATTTATATGTGTACATAATAAAGCTTCAGAGTGAAAGAATAGAAATTTCATAAGGTTTTCAGTCAAGAATCAGTGACTGAGAATTGAAGCTTTCAGTGAAATCTGTGAAGTGTAATGAAATAGTCTATATGATTGATCAGGTGCAGCCTGTCACATTAGTCCTCTCTTTTCAGAAGTGATATAGAGTCGCAGACATATAGTTCTCATCAATCAAGAGCTGCTGTCTTGAATAACACAGAGCTCAGAGTTCAGATCAGGTAATAAGCACTCTGTTGAATCAAATCTGTCATTAAATCTTTGTATATAGAATTTGAAATAATTATGTTCTAGTTTTAGCTGAATTATAGATGAGAATATTTTCTTTTTACATTTAATTAAACAAGATTTTCACTTTGATTTTGACTTAAATCTTGAATAATATATACTCTTCTTTTGTTTCTGTCAGTGTTCATTTCACTTATTTAAACAAGATTCTTTTATCTTTCTCTTTATGAAAGATCAGAACACTGTTTTTTAAATAGATCTGCTAAATTCTGAACTCTTTTTTACAGCTCAATCAGTTAATTCATTATCATGAATATTTATATGAGCAGGAACTTAATGCAGATGAATTATCAGTTTTAATATTCTTCTCTTTTGAATTTTGAAAACAGAGTTTAAAATGAGTTCAAGATTCATTTAATCACTATAAATCTGACTATTTCTAAGTCTTTTTAAAGCAGCTTAACTATCAGAGAATATTCATATCTCTTTCAAACTATTTTCTCTTTTATAAGATTTTATGTCAATGAGTTTGAAAGCTTTCACTATTACAAATAGTTCAGTATCAAAGACTTCAGATTCACAGTCTCAATTTCAGAAATCTGAGATAAAATTGATATTATCTTCAGTATCAGCAATGTCTGTGTCTAATCTATTCAAATTCTCATTTTTTAAGTCATCTGAGTAAATCAGAATAGAGTCTTTTATATTGATGGTAGAGATCTTCTTTAAATACTGTTCATATTCTCTCTCTTTAGATAGTTCACTTA